CATTAGCATATGCAGACAATAGCAAAACAAAATGGCTTGGCCGATTTGGGCAATTTTGGTGTGGTTTTGAGGTATATTGAACATGTTCTGACATTTTGAGGATAACACATTGTAGTTTTGAGTCTCCTAAACATTCAAATCGACCCATAATTCATGAAATTCTGGTTAAAAATGCCATGTTTACTTTTAGAACTTGCTGAGGGCCAATTAAAAATGGTCCAAGCGCAGCTGTTGTTTTAAGCAATTGAGTTCAATGTATCCTAAACCTACTCTTCCTCCATCCACAGCCACGTCCATCCTGAAGAAATCCAAGAGAGCCAGACGGGGCAATGTGACCTTCGACCAGGTGACGGTGTTCTTCTTCCCTCGGTGCCAAGGCTTCACCAGCGTTCCCAGTCGAGGAGGATGCACTCTGGGAATGATGCAGCGCCACAGCATTCTCCGCACCTATTCGCTCGCCGAGTTTGCCGTGGAGCAGCGGCTGCTACGACGGGAAAAATTCCTCAACAGACTCAGGGAGGAAAAGCTCGAAGCTCTCAAGTTAAAGGTAAGAGAAGTTGCCCCAAAGTGTAATGGATCATTTGACTTTTACTTCTACTTGAGTACAAGATCTCATTGATGTTTTTTCTCCACTCCAGCTGACTAAGAATGGAACCCAGGAGAACGAGGAGGCGGAGCGGCTAACGGTGGACGACATCCCCGAACAGGAGATCGACATCGGTGGCACCAATCTGGACGAGTGCTCTTTCCTCCATCCTTACCCACCCAAACGGCGCTACGCTCTACTCAAAGAAGCCGGCGTGAAGAAGGTCGACAAGGACGAGAAGAGGCAACTGCACGAGCTGAGGATCTCCAGGGAAAATTGTGGCTGTGACTGCCAGGGCTTCTGCGAGCCGGAGACGTGTAGCTGCAGCCTGGCTGGCATCAAGTGTCAAGTAAGAGCCGTTAGATGTAACACAGAAGCCTTGAAAATGTAAAAAGTTGCGGTTTAACAAGAGGCACTACATCCAAAGTAATGTAACCACTTCCTTCTGCTTCCCTCAGATGGATCATTCCTCCTTCCCATGTGGCTGCACTAAGGACGGCTGCGGGAACACAGAAGGTCGCATCGAGTTCAACTCCACCCGGGTACAGACGCATTACATTCACACCATCATGAAGCTGGAGCTGGAGAAGAGGCTGGAGGAGCAGTCGAGCCCGGAGGTAAGGGATAAAACCACCACCTTAGTGCCCTCGTACGCCTTCACTTCAGACCTGGCAGGAGAGAACAGCTGCAGCAGCGACATGACGGACTTATCGGACTCTCAGAGCGAGGACTCTGGGGCGGGCGAGAGTCCGTGCAATCACCACACCCAGCTGGACGACAACGGCCTCAGCATTTTGAGTTTTAGCGACACGGTGGGCGGCTCTAGAAACTGTCGAGACATTTGCTACCCAGATAAACATCAAGACCACCTGTCCACGGAGGCTTTCAGCAGCTTCAGCATGGCAGACTTTGCAGACGAGAACGACAACATAGACGCCGCGCTGTTGGACGATCACACAGACAATCGAGCGACAGACTTTTTGGATGAGAACGCCAACCAGGGGAACGGTTTATTTCACGGCGGCAGTGTGCCACGAACGCCGTCTCCGAGCATCGACCGCTCGGCGAGTTACAACATGGACCTGAGCCTCTCCTCGGAGTCGGACCTGGAGTTCTTTGACGGGTTTCCCTGCTTGGGGCCCAGCTCGCTCTACAACTCCCTGAAGGAATACGAACACATGGACAACTTCTTTCAGTTTCAGTTGCCTAGCTATCCCTCCCTCCCTCCGGCCAGCGACCCCGGGACCTGCCTCCTGGAGTCGCTGATCGGACTCTCCGAATCCGTCCCTGAACCCCCCGCCACATTTACAGACAATCAGCTGTTGGAGGAAGCCATGAAATTGTCTGTGATGGAGTCTGTGAAAGTTTGACGAAACTAGTGGACAGTGCAAGGAAGAAAAAAAAAGGTTATAGAGGGAGGCCGAACATGCACATAAATGTGATTTTTGGAGGAAGCTGTGATTTCCCTATTGCCTAATAAATGTTCAAATTCCAGACTTGCCTTCAAAACGTTAGCAAAGCAGTGTGGGATAAATGCTGTGTGAGATGGCAGCTAGTGTTAAAAATGCAAAATGGAAATCAATTTGGCCCTTAGTAACCAATGATGGCTCTGCAGTTCCTAAGAAAGCTATTTTGACCAAACCAAGATCACCAACCATGTGATGAACAGGAAGTAAACCTTAACTGGGGCCAGGTTGGGAATCTCCACACAGCTGAATGTGCACCTCAGGGATTTTTCTAGCTTTCTAGCTTTTGGAGGCAATGTATGGTGACCATTGCTGTGATGGCCTTCATGTAAAACCTGAGTTAAATCACACGTGTTCTCTTATTGGGCTCACACTCGGATGGCTTTGAGTTGGTACGGTCCACCCTGTTAAAGCTAGTGGACTCTTCCTTCTCAAGATCTCACCTTTGGGTGTTATATGGTACAAAAGAAATCCCTCTAAAAGCTCCTCGATCAGCACTTTATCTGTGAAAATGTTTGAATAGGCATTGCTGTGGTTGTATGGGGTCGATTCAACAGTTCAACGCTAAATTATGGAGTTCCTTATTTATGAGAAAAGAAAACGCTCATACCATTTAAAGCTGTAGCTTGTTATATCTATATTACTTTGTTTTAAATTATTTCCTTTCATGATTCTATTCTATTTATTTCCGCCTACTTTCACTCGAGAAGCACTGTGGTTATTTTTCACCTCAAAGTGCTTCCTTTTTCCCCCCATTTCACATGATGGCATTGCTATGGGAAATGGGACCACAAGTCCATCAGAAAGTATTTAATATCTATTCTCTTTTACATATAACTTTTTTTTTTTGATAACTTATTACATCATCATTTCATTAGCTATTTAATTTAAGACATTTTGGCAATAAAATGGGGGTGTTGTGAAGTTTACTGGATGTGCCTGCTTATCAGGGAGCCTGATAGTGCTTCCATTTAAGCTTTGGGACTGAAAACTGTGGAATCTCCCGAATCACTGAAACTAAATTATGGGTCTATTGTATCGCTGCCTATAATGTAACCATAGAAAAATTACACTAATATTTTATAACTAATTTATGTAGGTCGACAAAGAATTCTAATCACTGACAAATTAAAATATTTTATTAAAGAAAGAAAAAAAAATTCAATCCGGGACAAACTTTGTAATATATGAATTATAGAGAAATGTATACTTATGAAGGTTAATGGCGCTCTAGCATTCTGAAGTATTTTTCACATAGGCAGTCTTATGATGTCTTAGCGAAATGCCACTAAAACGGAGTAAATTGCAAAGATCAATTTGATTGTATTCTGAATTTCTTGGAAGTCTGTGACTTGGGTTACACTATGTATTGAATTAAACAAGGGGCATTGTGGGTAAAAACTGCATATATTATACAGTTTTTATCGCACACACAAACCCTGAAAATGAAAAAAGTTGCCTCATTCATGACAGAACAAGACAGTGGAGGACACTAGAGAGTGTATGTACATATCTCACCCTTTCTACAGCTGTTTCTGCAGCCTTTCTGGACCCTTTAGAAATTATGCATGCAGGTCCCGTTTGTTAAAACTTGTTCTGATTAATTGTATACTTTGAAAAGTGCTGAATGCACATCGGAAATGTATTATTCGCTTTTTGCCTTTTTGATTATTTTAAAAATCCATCCGATATGTTCTTACGCCATGAAGAGGGCACTGATTCTTTTTGCAAGCCAATGTTTGTTTCTCTTGTACAAAAAACATCATGAAGAAATGGCATCAGTGAGTGTTCATCAATGTAATGTATTACAGTACAGCTTTTTTTTTACATTTTTGTTTTCAGAAAAGAAACGTGTCTTACTTTTTTGCCTTTTTTGTTGTACATATTTCTGCTTGAATGGTCCTGCAGAGCAAACAAAGCTGCTTTATTTTTTACATATTCACACTTTAACCTGCTGTTCAAAAACAGTCTCTTTCATCTAAGCCATTTGACAGCCTGTCCCTCCAAATAATAATAAAAAAAACATTTTCTAAAAGCTCTTGTTTGTCATATTTGTTGAAATTACATTACATTACATGTCACTTGTTGTTTATCCAAAGCGACTTACATACTCAATACTGTGGACAATCCCCACAGGAGCAATTTGGGGTGAAGTGTCTTCAGGGACACAACGACATGCTGACTGCTGTGGGGTTTGAACCTGTGTTCCCCTGATCCCAACACTACACTAGTCCACTGCGCCACACGCCTCCTACAATGCTATATAATAACCCATAGGAAAGGAAATATGCCTATTAAGTCGATGTCTTTGATTTATAAAGCGTGTTTAATGTAATCCTCTCTTCCTAACTGGAAACATATCCAGTGTTAACATACTTAAACCATACACTAAAGCCTTTAAGACATTAGATAGTCTATGCATTGGCAGTCTTTGGGGTTTTTTGTGTGTAAACCACAGGAATCCATGTGGTTTCTGTCTCCATGGCTAGCAGAACAACACGGTGTGATGTCATCATGCTGCAGTCTCCTGACTACCACCACACACACATGGCTAGAAATCCCAGACGAGAAGGAAATGTCAATCCGGTGACTGCATTTAGCTTACATTGGCCACCGTCAAGAAAATGTGGTTCTTGTTAAGTCTTTAGGTCGTTTTTTCAAACATTTTAGGGGGTTTTCCGTTCATTCTGGATACATTAAATAGACACTATGCAACTTCAACCTAAACACGATCGATCAAAAATATGTGTAAGACAGTTTTTGGCCAATGGGGTTGCAGACTTGGAGGTCAGATGATCTTTAACCTTTAGCTAAGTACATGGTATCAAGTCTGAACGTGAACCACCACCACCATCTTGTGGCTAAAATAAGAACTACAAGCCAACCTCTATCATATTAAACACACATGAATGCGATGCAAATTCATTTTATTTCAGACGTTAAATTGTTCAGCCTATTGAATAATCTGGAAGAAAACAAAAAAAACAAAAGTCAGGAAATTGAAATATGCAGATATGGATATGTATTAGATATACCAGGAGGCTCACTGAGTAGATCCAGTCATGGAAGGAAGACACTCTGGTGAAGAGGGTGGGTTTGTTCAATAGATTGCAGCCGGGTGGACTGTAGCTGACGACACCGTGGACCCTCCAGGCCCCGCCAGTGTAGCAGTTCAGGGGCCCGCCAGAGTCGCCCTGGGACAACGAGAAGATTGTTTGTCAACCCTGTCACAGACTCTATGACTCAGCCTATCATAACAACCTAATAAGGCTGTCCAACAACATCATCTCAGACATGTTCTGAACAGAGAATATGAACGGCTACCATCTAATGGGAGATACAGGGTCCCACGATTCAATAAAGTCAGAGTGAAGCAGGGGCGGACTGGGACTAAAAATCAGCCCGGGAAACTCGACCGGCCCAACTCGGTACCGCTAGTTCATTGTCAGCGGGGGGTGGGGGGGGTCTTTAGGCGGGACTTAAAAGTTTGAAGAGTGGGCTCGCTGTGCAGATGTTGAAAGAGGTATCTTTGTATACAAATGTGCACCAATATTCACAGGGTTGTGTAGCACTGACAGTATCCTACTTAATCTGCCCCTTTATCATAGAGCAGTCTTGCGTTTATGGATACCAAAGATACGGACCTCTGCATCACTCTCAGTTTTTAAGAAAAGCCTCAAGACCCACCTGTTCCGCACCACATTTGACTGACTGTCCTTTATTTTATTTATTTTGTATTCTAACCTTTTATGCTCTTAACCTTTTTTATATTACCATATTTTATTCAATATGCGCCTTGGATAACTTTTTATTTTATTGTATTTTCAATCATTGTGAAGACGTTTTTTTTAAAAGTGTGTTATATAAATTAAATGTATTCTTCTTCTTATTATTATTAAAGATGTGTACCTGGCAGCCTGATATGACTCCATCTCCTCCAGCACACACCATGGTCTTCAGAGCGATGCTGCCCCACCAGTCAGGCCTGGAGCACATTGAATGCTCCACCACTGGGATGGGGGCCACCTGCAGGATGTTAGGGATGCTCCCTCCATCTGTAAACAAAAAAAGTGTGTGAAGGTCACCTATTATGCAGAATCCTGTGTCATATAGTTTGTGTGTGTGTGTCCTCACAGTCCATGAGTCCCCAGCCGGTGATGTAACAGGTGAACCCGTGAGGTAGTATCTGATCCAGGTAGGGAAGTTCAGCGATGGCCACGTGGCCGTTATTATACAAAGGGTTCGCCAGCCTCAGGAGAGCAATGTCATTTCTAATAGAAAAAATACATTTTTTGAAGAAGTTATAGTCTGTTTGCCAGTCTTATTGAGAACCTGGAAATGCTGTGTACCCCCGGCTATTATGTTTCCATCTACTTGTGCAAGGCATTTCAAAGCACTACATGAAGGAAAGTGGTAATACAAGTTGGTTTGTAGCCATAAAAGTGAAAGCATAGGATGCCTTAACCCTGTAACTATCCCCTTGGGCATTTACTGTCAATGAAAGTGTGCTTTGAGTGGTGCAACTAAGACAACTTGCTCTCTTTACCCTCTGGCATGGTCTCCATTCCAGCCTGGATGGACAGCAATCATTTCCACCCGGCTGAACTGCTCACTGCCGTCGTACTCGTACAGGTCGTACTCCCCCGCCACCACACGGTACGCACTAGCATCCATGCTGATTGAAAAAATCAAAGACATACTGTGTTTACTTACAAGCAGACACTGGGAATCAGCAGAACAGGAGTGACAGGATCAGTGGCATTGATTGGTTGTATGAGAGCAAACCTTAGGATACAGTGAGCTGCAGTCATGATGTAGAAACGATCAATGATAGTGCCTCCACACATGTGGTAGTATGAGCCATCGTTGTATGAATCATACTGGAGAGAAGCCTGAGAGAAAACAGAGAATTACACTGATACCAAAAAGACAATGACAGAAATCGATCAGCATAATGAGGTCTAGCAGATTAAAAGTAAGCCTATTTACCCAAAGGATATAAGTAAAAAATACTAGCGTCACATTACATTCAATCTGTATAAATAATGTTTTTAAATAGTGCTCATACCTGCCATCTCCAGGTGTTTGGTATGGCGTCATTGCCTCCTATGACCCTCTCATTGTGCACCTTATGGTTGAAAGGTGTTTCAGCACAAATCAGCCCTTTGGTGCACACGTGAGATTGGAGACAGTACAGTTAAATGTGCACTAAACAGCACTGAAAATATGTTTTTGGGAATATATTTGGGGAAAACTTACCAATGCAGGAAAGGAAAGCCACAAGACGAATCATGTTGGAGCTCTGACAACCAGATACCGTTTATCTTCACCTATTTATATCATTTTGGGACTGGAAAACCTCCAGGAGGTATTAGGTAACCACAAAGATACCTGCCAACTCAGCACAACATGTGGATGAATCCTAATCAAATGTATGATTTTCTTATGGTGAGGACGAGCAAACACTTCAGCAACCCTATACATCTCTTAAAATCTAGGTCTATAAATATATTTGGTTATATAGTCATTTTAATGCCACTTTTATTCATTTAGGAAAATGTTTGAACAACATTTCCTATCATGGTGGGAAAAGAGCAGGTGCGTTCACATGTTCAACTATCGACTGAACATTTTATCCTTCCCATGGGTATTGATATGCTTTAGTTATTTATAGGAAAATGTTTAACAGCACGCTATCAGTATAGGACATTTTGACAGATTCGTATTTGGGTGAAAATACAGATGTTAATGTGTATATAAACATATATAAGACATACAGAAAAGACTAATTAGCTAGACTAATGTGCAAGTAATGCAGGAGAAGTTAGCTATATGCAATCCACATATGGTTCTACTTTGATTTGATGGTTTTATTGTATTTGTCTGAGTACAGTAGGATGGCTGGTGGCTGTAGGTTTTGAATGTTCCACCAGAGAAAGGACCTTTGACTTTGAGGCCAGTATTTATTCCACTTCCACCCTCCACCTCTTCCGGAAGCCTGAGCATTTTCTCACCCGTCTGTGATCCTGGGTTTCCTCCACACTGTCGGTCACCACGGGGAAATTCCTGGGTTGGGTGTTTTCCTTTTTGTCGCACAGTAGGACAAGAAACGAGGTGGGATGTGTTCTCTGTAGTACAGGATGTGAGAGTGTTGGACTCCTGTTAGCAGTGTCTTTTAATTTGGTACATGATAAGGTTAGGCAATAAATCAGAGGGGTGTCCTTTTACTGTCTGTTCAGCAAGGTTTGCACAAGTCTTACACAGTGGAGCATCATGCCATCTATAGTCTGTTTCCAGGCAGTGTGAACCTGGAAATGTTGAGTACACCCAAAGTGTTATGTTAGTTTCCTTAATTAGCAATAATGAAAAATGTCAATCCGGTGACTGCATTGAGCTTACATTGGCCACCGTCAAGAAAATGTGGTTCTTGTTAAGTCTTTAGGTCGTTTTTTTCAAACATATATATATTTTTCCCGTTCATTCTGGATACATTAAATGGACACTGTGCAACTTCAACCTAAACACGATCGATCCAAAATATGTGTAAGATAGTTTTTGGCCAATGGGGTTGCAGACTTGGAGGTCAGATGATCTTTAACCTTTAGCAAAGTACATGGCATCAAATCTGAACATGAACCACTACCACCATCTTGTCACTAAAATAAGAACTACAAGCCACCCTCTATCATATATGAAACACACATGACTGAGATGCAAATTCATTTTATTTCAGATGTTCCATTGTTCAGCCTATTGGATAATCTGTAAAAGACAAAACAAATAAAAGTCAGGAAATTGAAATATGCAGATATGGATATGTATTAGATATACCAGGAGGCTCACTGATTGGATCCAGTCGTTGAAGGAAGACACTCTGGTGAAGACGGTGGGTTTGGTCACTTGGTTGCACATGCCGGATGGACCATAGCTGACGACACCGTGGACCCTCCAGGCCCCGCTAGTGTAGCAGCTCAGGGGCCCGCCAGAGTCGCCCTGGGACAACGAGAAGAGAGGGGCCAATGTGGAGACCATGCAGTGAGAGGTAGTATATAAGGAATCTGCTAAAGCTGTGCAGATATTAAAAGTGGTAGCTTTGTATATGTTGGGAAAATACTGAATGTACTCTTCCAACATCAGAGTACACATGATAACAAAGGTATCCCAACTGTAGCTGTGTACATGACAGGATGTATGATTACCTAGAAGAGCATCAGGACTGTTGTAGGCATATGATAGCTATGTGATTAACATGATGATTCAGCCTCTATGGAGATAGACATATGACAAGCATGATCATTTCTGACGTGGAGCTAATCTGAAGTAAACATTGAATACTGCTTTCTATTCCTCCATCTTGTGACTGTGTAACTCCCTCTCTTGGATATCAGCATGTGAAGGACACTGTTCAGGAACTAGTTGATGCTCTGTATGTGATGACTACTTCCATTCTGGAGAGGATCAGAAATACATGGATCCTGAGATTGAAGCTCAAGCCGGTGACCAGTGATATTTTTCTAACAGTATACATATGTACAACAAATATTCAGAGGGTTGTGCAGGACAGACAGTACTTTATCTGCCCCTTAATTATACAGCAGTCTTGTATTTATGGATACCAAATATCCAAAGATGTGTACCTGGCAGCCTGATATGACTCCATCTCCTCCAGCACACACCATGGTCTTCAGAGCGATGCTGCCCCACCAGTCAGGCCTGGAGCACATTGAATGCTCCACCACTGGGATGAGGGCCACCTGCAGGATGTTAGGGGCGCTCCCTCCATCTATAAACAAAAAAAGTGTGTGAAGATTTCTTTATTAGATGTAAATGAATGGTTGAATCATATAGTATGTGTGTGTGCGTCCTCACAGTCCATGAGTCCCCAGCCGGTGATGTAACAGGAGAACCCGTGAGGAAGCATCTGATCCGGGGAGGGAAGTTCAGCGATGGCCACGTAGCCGTTATCATACACAGGGTTAGCCAGCCTCAGGAGAGCAATGTCATTTCTAATAGAGAAAATAAAAAAATGGAATAAGTTAAACTCTGTTTGCCAGTCTTATTGAGAACCTGGAAATGCTGTGTACCCCCGGCTATTATGTTTCCATCTACTTGTGCAAGGCATTTCAAAGCACTACATGAAGGAAAGTGGTAATACAAGTTGGTTTGTAGCCATAAAAGTGAAAGCATAGGATGCCTTAACCCTGTAACTATCCCCTTGGGCCTTTACTGTCAATGAAAGTGTGCTTTGAGTGGTGCAACTAAGACAACTTGCTCTCTTTACCCTCTGGCAAGGTCTCCATTCCAGCCTGGATGGACAGTAATCATTTCCACCCGGCTGAACTGCTCACTGCCGTCGTACTCGTACAGGTCGTACTCCCCCACCACCACACGGTACGCACTAGCATCCATGCTGATTGAAAAAATCAAAGACATACTGTGTTTACTTACAAGCAGACACTGGGAATCAGCAGAACAGGAGTGACAGGATCTGTGGCATTGATTGGATGTATGAGAGCAAACCTGAGGATGCAGTGAGCTGCAGTCATGATGTAGAAACTAGAAATGATAGTGCCTCCACACATGTGGTAGTATGAGCCATCGTTGTATGAATCATACTGGAGAGAAGCCTGAGAGAAAACAGAGAATAACACTGATACCAAAAAGACAATAACAGAAATCTATAAGCATAATGAGGTCTAGCAGATTAAAAGTAAGCCTATTTACCCAAAGGATATAAGTAAAAAATACTAGCGTCACATTACATTCAATCTGAATAAATAATTTTAATAAAATGTTTTAAAATAGTGCTCATACCTGCCATGTCCAGGTGTTTGGTCTGGCGTCATTGCCTCCTATGACCCTCTCATTGTGCACCTTATGGTTGAAAGGTGTTTCAGCACAAATCAGCCCTTTGGTGCACACGTGAGATTGGAGACAGTACAGTTAAATGTGCACTAAACAGCACTGAACATTTTTGGGAATATATTTTGGGAAAACTTACCAATGCAGGAAAGGAAAGCCACAAGACGAATCATGTTTGAGCTCTGACAACCAGATACCGTTTATTTGTCCCTATTTATATCATTTTGATACTGGAAAACCTCCAGGAGGTATTAGATAACCACAAAGATACCTGCCAACTTTAGCACAACATGTGGATGAATCCTAATCAAATGTATGATTTTCTTATGGTGAGGACGAGCAAACACTTCAGCAACCCTATACATCTCTTAAAATCTAGGTCTATTTATAAATATATTTGGTTATATAGTCATTTTAATGGCACTTTTATTCATTTAGGATTTTTTTTAGACAACATTTCATCATGGTGGGAAAAGAGCAGGTGCGTTCACATACAGCCAAATTCAACTATCGGCTCTAACAAAATGTTCCTAGAGATAACTAAAGCAGGTCAATAACCATGGGAAGGATAACATGTTCCACAGCATGCTATCAGTATAGGACATTTTGCAGATCCGTATTCGGGTGAAAATACAGATGTTAATGTGTGTATAACAAACATCAAGTATTATGCAAATAACCCTCATGCCCTAAATGCCCTAAACCTAAATGTAGTATACCTGCTGTTAATTCTCTGTTTCATTGTAACTTTATGGAAGCTATGGAGCTTAACTGAAGGTAAAGCCAGTGGTGTAATGTAGTGTTTACTCAAGTAATTAAAAGTAGCTCCACTTTTACCAGCTGTGAGATTATTGCAGCAAAAGGAATAATTTAGAACGATTCCTAAATGGGACATTAAGCCGAGTAGGTGCTTTTACTTTTGGTTACTTTTGGATATTTTGATGCCAATACTTAAAGTACGTTTTTAAATGCAGGATGTAACTGAGTATTTTTACACTGTTTTCTACTTCTACACAGTAAAATCCGGAGTGTTAATTTAACACTCTGAGATAAGGACCATATGTTCACTGGCTCTCAGTGTTAAAATGTAGTCTTTAAGTGTTCATTTAACACTTAAGTGTCCATTTAACACTTAAATCCCTCCCTTTAAGTGTTCATTTAACACTTAAAGAGTCCATTTTAACACTGCCAGTGAACATATGGTCCTTACTGTATCTCAGAGTGTTAAAATTAAATTAACACTCCGAATTTTACTGTGTAGGCCTACTTAAGTAAAATATCCGAGTACTTCTTCCACCACTGGGTAAAGCTAGTGATGAGTTGAATTAAAAGATATAAAAATAGGCTTTGTTTTCGTCACATTATACACAATATCAAGCTTCAAACGTCCCATATCATTTTGTAATATTCATGTATTACGTACAACGTCAAATTTCCATGACTTCTACGCCAGTGTTGTCTGTTGCCCAGCAACCACGTAGAACACCCAGTCAAGGACGGCTAATCGAGCTCCAGCTCAGTACAAGCTCGATTTCTCTGGCATCGTTATTTATTAGCTTTGCCTAGCTCTCTGAGGCTGCTGTCAACCTGCGTTTTGCGCTAAGCTAGCTTTAGCTTTAAACATTTGTCTCCGTCAGTAATGACTTCTAACACATCTCTACCTCAGTGACTTGAAGACTGTGTTTGTATTACTAACTGTTGAAGACGATGGGGGTGTCGCAGAGCTCGTTTCTGTCGGATGGAGGAACTTCTAGTGGATATCATGTTCATGGGGTACGTATTGCAAGGTTATAAACAACACTCAGTTTGTATACCTTTTTGAGCCACTTTAAGCTAACTGGCTATGCTATTGTTCCTGTTTTTTAATCTATGAAGACACACAGTTGCACAATGTATTAAGATATTCTGTGTAGTAACTCGGTAACTTCAACTGTGGGTAGCTTTAATGGTGTCCGCCCATGATGAGGTGGCTTTTGGCTCACAACCAAACTGTTTAAGTTCGAGAGAGACTGCTTTGTGTTAGTACTAACTGCCATGTGCAAAGTAACTACGTGCATTTACTCACTGTACTTAAGTACAATTTCGAGGTACTTGTACCTTACTTGAGTATTTCAATGTTTTACTACTTTATACATCGACCCCACTATAATTCAGGGGAAAATGGTGTACTTTTACTCCACTACCAGTACCTTAGTTACTTTGCAGATTTGGTTTAATGATGTTAAATCAGACTTTAGTTCCACCTTGAGTAAATCCACAAGCTACCCTGCAGTATACAAAGTCATTCAAACTAGCTGCACCTTTAGCAGCTTTGATAACACTTTAATGATCAATCATTATGATCAAAACATGATCATTGCATAATGAGTACTTCTACTTTTGGTACTTTGAGTCTATTGTGATTGCAGGACTTTTCTTACTTAACAGAGTATGCATCCACTCTGCTACTTCTTATTTGACTGAAGTACAAGATCTGAGTACTTCTTCCACCTCTGCCCTTTACTGTCAAATCAACCAAATCTCTTTGGTGTGTTTTTTCAGCTTCAAGAGGACTCTCCAGCTCTGAGGGCCGGTCTGGAGCCTTTCTTTGACTTCATTCTCTCCATAGGGAATACCCGACTCGTGAGTCATCTCTATGTGAAGTAACATTTGGTTTGGCATGTCCACTCCCCAAATGTAAATATATTATCTAAATGCAAACACTTGAATAGATGGAGCTTATCTGATACATGTTTTAATTGCTCAGCGTAAAGTACATTTACTTAAGTACTGAAGTATATCAAAGTACTTGTGCTTTACCTGAGTATTTGGGATTGTATGCAACTTTAGGACCTGTGTCCACATCGCGTATTTCTGCCAGAAAAATGTGCCGTGTGGACACAGGCCCTCAGTTTTTTGTTGCTTTGCAGGATGCAATTCTTCATGATTCATGAGGATTAGAATTTGAATGTTTTAAAAAAGAACCTAATGAAACCTTGTTAAGGAAATGTGTCTTCTTCTTACACTAAATACATTTAAAAAAATAAAAACATTTAGCAGGAAGTGGACATCACAAATGTGAAAACAGGGCTGTTTTACTGACCTCATGAAAAGTGAAAGGACAGAGATGCTTCAAACATGATGATCATATATAATATGATGCATCGCTGTAAATATACCGAGCAACGAGTATTTAAAGAAGTTAAAATTAGCACAATCTTACCCATCTACAGCTGCACAATGCCTGATATCAACCACAATTGTTGATTAACAGATATAAAAGCCTGCACCAAGCAAAGTGCACAGGAGAAAAGTGACATTATACTCTGCTAAAATCTCATTTCATGTTGTTTTCACATGAAACCCGACCCACCCTCTCCACACCCTCGAGGCTGCAGTCATTAACATTTCTCTTGTTTCTCCAGAACAAAGAGAGCGACCTGCTGAAAGACCTTCTAAAGGCCAATATGGAGAAAGCGGTCAAACTCGAAGTGTACAACTCTAAAACCCAGCGGGTGAGGGAACTGGAAGTCACTCCCAGTAACATGTGGGGGGGGCAGGGTCTGCTGGGGGCCAGTGTTCGCTTCTGCAGCTTTGAAGGAGCCAATGAGAACGTTTGGCACGTCTTGGTGAGTCGAGTCCATCCGGGCTATTCTTTAACTTGCTCTGTGTTCTGATGCAAAACAGCTTAGCTTTGAGGAAGAAGCCAGCGTTTTCTTTTAAGTGAGAATCAAACAAGTTGAATGTTTCAGATCTACTTTATTCTTTGTACAAGACTAGCTAGGGTTTCCTAACCATTCAATACAATACCTAGCTATTTAGTACCACCAAATTGACATCTGTTTTTGTGTTATCTTCACATTCAATTTCCTGTATAACAGTCATAATTAAGACAGTGGTTTCAAGTAAAAATGCATCTTTGTTTCAGGATGTGGAAACCAACTCTCCTGCAGCCTTGGCCGGCCTTATTGCTTACGATGACTTCATCGTAGGAGCTGACCAGGTGTTGCAAGATGTAAGCTCTATTCTAATACATGGATATAATAAAGTGCTACCAAAACAGTGCACGATGCTAAATCCCTTTGTGTTTGTGTTGCAGTCAGAGGATTTCTTTTCTTTGATTGAGGCCAACGAGGGGAAGCCTCTGAAGCTGCTGCTGTACAACACTCAGACCGACAACTGCAGGGAGGTGGTGGTGACTCCCAATGGAGCGTGGGGAGGAGAGGGGAGGTATGTCTTCTTAATATCTGCATCATTTATTATCATGTCACCCATATAGATTAGATTAGCTTCGATTCCTTTATTGTCACTACACAGAGTACAGCGAAATTCCAAGCATTCCCGAAGGTGCAATCCCACATAACAGACAGTATAAGTATCATTTTGACAATACAATCTAAAAACTTTTATTGACTATAAATTGGACCTATGATACATTGAACAGTGCGCTTACAAAACACATTACCATATAAATATACTCTATTTACAGGCATAACACACATTCGTAGTAATACCCTTGTGTTGTATTTTAGCTTAGGCTGTGGCATTGGCTACGGCTACCTGCACAGAATCCCCAGTCGTCTTGCTCTTCCTCAACCGGAGAGCTCACACGTTGAGCCGTCCACGCTGATGGACAGCAGTGAAGAGCCGGCAACAACAAGCCAACCCACAGAGGTACGGGTTATCCCATATTTCTAATATTAAATCCTCTTTGGTAGAGAAGTTTCCTCGTCTAAAACACATGTCCTCTGCTCTCAGGTGCCTTCAGAGGATGCACAAATCCCTTTAAGTGTCGGTGAAATAGATTTGAATCAAGAGGAAGCAGCTGTGCAGGACTTGTTTGTTCCATCGCCCTCTCAGCCAGCTGTGGACTTAGGTAAGCAGATCTCATTCTAAGAAAAGATCATTTGATTTCTGTCTGATTTAGACACGTCTGACGCAGAATAAAATGTATGAATTGCAGATGTTTCCACCATACCCGACTCGATGACTCAAGACTTGTTAGACATGGTTTCCAACGATGACGTCAACCAGAGCTCCATGATTGTTAATTATGGAGATGAATCTGTTGATCAGTGCAGCTTTGGTAAGTACCGCTACATTGGACATTAGCACTCCAGCACATTGTACGTGATAGGCTAAGGGGCGGGACATCTCTAAGCAGGTTAACCAATCAGAGCAGACTGGGCTCTGGTTTCAGACAGAGGGTGAAAAGAGGTGCTGCAGCACAGGCAGTATGAGAAAATAAAGAGCTTTTTGAACATTAAAGCATGGAGACAAATGGGCACAAAATACTGATATGAACCTGAAATAGTGCTCCTTTTAAGGTGGACCTTATCAAATCAAATCAGATTTTATTTATATAGCACATTTAAAAGCGATGTTTGGTCGAGCCAAAGTGCTGTACATGTAATAAAAACACATTACTACATTCACAATAAACGACAATAAATTACAACAGATATATCTTAAAAACAAAATAAAAATAAAACACACGGAAAAGTCAGGAGTCGTGCTCCGCTCTAACTAGAAGGCCAGAGAGAAGAAGTGTGTTTTTAGTTTAGTTTTAAAAACCCCTAGGGTCTGGGCCGACCTCACATGGAGGGGCAGAGTGTTCCAGAGCCTCGGGCCAGCTGCTGCGAAGGCTCGGTGCCCTCGGGTTTTTAGCCTGGTCTTGGGCACTACCAGCAGCAGCTGGTCAGCAGACCTTAAAGCTCTGGCTGGGGTGTAGCGCTGGAGGAGTTCTGCTATATAGGCCGGGGCCAGCCCATTTAGGGCTTTAAAAACAAATAAAAGGATTTTAAAATCAATTCTGAACCGAACTGGAAGCCAGTGCAGTGAGGCCAGAATAGGGGTGATGTGGTCACGCTTTTTGTGGCCAGTCAGCAAACGTGCAGCTGCGTTTTGGACTAGCTGTAGGTGTTTAATTGAGGCCTGGTCCATACCCACATACAGAGCGTTACAATAGTCCAGTCTCGAGGTTACAAAGGCGTTAATAACCCTTTCTAAGTCTTTAAAAGATAAATACGACTTGGTTTTGGCCAATAGTCTTATTTTAAAAAAGCAGGATTTTACTACGGTGCTGACCTGCTTGTCGAATTTAAAAGTGCTAGTGAAGGTCACTCCAAGGTTCATGACCGAGGGGAGGATGTTTTTTAATGTTCTTAACTACAATTCCTTATTCATCTTTTTTCACAGATGCCTCATCTGTTGACCAAATACCCTCCTCTCCTGAGAGAGAAGCAGACATCCAGGAGAGCGAGCAGGAGGGAGTTACTGACCCGATCACTGCCATTTCTCCCAGCGTTAACGTGGATAACTCAACAGAAATCCCCTCGGAGATCCCGAGTGACGGCAGTATCCCAGAGGTGAAGGATATTAGTCCTGAGCCCGTGATCTCAGCAGATTCTGTGGAGGACGAGGAGACTTCAGAAACCGCAGCGTCTGACAGTTAGGGAGAGTTTAAGCACATATCATATCATGTCTGCTGCTAGTTAGAAGAGTTGTAGCGCACACTAGGACACAGAAAGCTTCCCTTATGATTGTAAGTTGCATCACTGGAACGTTTTTGATATCCAGGTGCCATTGCTGCATGTTGAATTGCACATTTTAGAAAAGATAGTACTTGAAAGATGGTTCAAACAGTATGAATGTACTCTTTCATTTAGACTCAAGCAGGATGAAGCCTTAGATGCTGTTAAAAGTCGTCCTAGTTTGCACAAAAAAACCCAAAGGTGAGTCATGTTTAGTTTGGTTGCTCTCACCGTTATCCTCTACTGTTATGAAACACTGTTGTAAAAAAGAGAGTTTGAGGTGTAGTTCAAACAGATCCATCATATGGTTTTATTTGTTTTATATATTGGTATTTGGTTGTGGATGGTTTTATTTTCCCGTGCACATGAGAAACATTTTAATCTCAGGCATTTTCCAGTTAAGCCTCTTTGCCTTACGTCTCATGTTTAAAAACCCGCCTTTCTGATATGTTAGATCTGACTTTGAATCAGTGTAAATGAAGGAGCCATGTTCCACGCAGCTCTGTGATTGTTTTCTGTTCGTCCTCTTTATAAAGATTTTAATTAAACTATGTTTCTGATTTGTATGGATGGACACAAATATTCAAGTATTTATAAAAAGAAAATGATCCAAGATGAACGTGCCGGAGTCTAATTGATGTCTTGTTTGTTATTTTAGATGTGAGCATGATTACTTACATATATTCTATATAGGAATTATTGTACATGTGTCACTTCCTGTTTTATACCAGCAGGTGTCAGCAAACTCCTCATTATAGATCCCAACCTTCAGTTTTCTACCATTCAGCTGCAAAATGTGTGAAATGTAAGTCCATTTTTTTCAATCAAATTCCGGTGACATGAAGCTGTAGTGTTTTTGCAAAAAATCACATCTCTATGAACTCTTCAGGGATATCATTATTTGATCTGTAGCCGAACAGTAGCAGCTTGCATTCATGAGGGAAACTTAACAACATGCAAGCCTCATTTTTAAATATTAATACCAGCCTATTGCTGCATATATTTAGATGTTGCTATATATAGGACATGCTGATGCTGGGGTTGGGGCAGACCTAGGACCAGGTGGAGGGATTATATATCTTCGCTGGCCTGGGAGCGCCTTGGGATCCCCCAGTCAGAGCTGGTTGAAGTGGCCAGGGAAAGGAACGTGTGGGGCTCTCTGCTGGAACTGCTACCTCCGCGACCCGACCACGGTGGATGCTGGGTTGGAAAAGCTTTCATTCAAATAAAATTAGAAGCAAATGGGCGACATAACATCTGAAATCTAGAGATATTCCTAATTATAAAAGGTTGTTTCCTTGTGATATAGAGACCTACCGTTCATTTATTCTCGCAATTTAATATTATCTCTCCCCTTCCTTGTGTTCTGACACGTGGCCTACATGCATGATACATCATAACACACAGGGTATTCTCAATGATTTTTTTTTATTTATTCTACATCAAAAATAGGGTGAGACCTAGAAAATGCAACCCAAAAAAAGAAAGAACTAAGCAGGGAAGCTACAGTAGGAGAGGGGGAATACGCCTCAATTATTAACCAGGGCCCTCCTCAATGGAAGGGGGGGGGGATGGGCATAAAGGGAGAGAAAAGCCTGTGTGGGGGAAGAGTGAGATGCACTTATCCACCAGAGTGATAGGCGTCCTTAAGGAAACCCTTCTTCTGCACTGCACACCTGTATGCTCAGAATTTATGGATTTTATTCAAGGGATGAAAAGTCTTCAAATTGAAATGTGTAGCAGAACAATAGCTTCTTAAATCAACATACATTAAGGATTTTATTTATATAAGAAGCATACTCAGCAGCTTAGTAGCGTTGCCATTGCCTTCATACTGACATTTTGCAGAAGAATAGCTTTTTAAATCAACCCAGTACATGTTTTTTGATTGTTCTCAGGGTGTATTCACAGTTTTATTCCCTCCATGTTGGGTTCGCAGCTTTATTTAAAGAAACGGCCCGAGGCAAAAGCCAGCAGCTGCATGCCAGGAGGAACCAAGAGGTGAGGCTCAAAGGGGGCCACCTCTGGATGAACATGCCAATGCATTCATTTTCCTCTCTTTCTGAGGCGTTTCAAAGGACAGTGTGACGCAGATGAACCCACTTGTCAGCTTCGCTTTATCTCAACCCCTGAGAGGCTGCGCTCAGCATAGTGGCCGCTGCTCAGCCTGGCGTTGCAGCATGACAAATCGTGAAATAGAGGAAGGGGTTGGAGAGAGAGAGAGAGAAATGAGAGAGTCATTGTTTCACCCACAGTGGTCTCACATCCATACATGAAAATGCTTTTTCTCTGCAGGGTTGACTGTGTCTCGGTTAGATTGGAGAGTGTGGAGTGATAAAATCCATATATCTTTTCTCATTGTGCCACCTTCCTACCCTTAATCACAAATATCTCGGGGCAATGTAATCTTGATCTGGAACAGTGTGCACACCACAGCCTGGGAATAATGTGCAGGTCGTAATTACATCCATGCATTCAGGAGGACGATCACTCTGTGGGGCCTGAAATCATTAGGAGGTTTTTTTTTTATATCTACTGCAGTTATTATCGACTGCCTGTATGTTTGCTTCTGTTTCTACAGGAGATGGTTGTTTGCTCCCAGTAAATATTGCTCTTTTTTCATCCATTTATTTATTGATGCTGTAGCCTGAAGTGCTGTTCGTACAGGAGTGAAAAATGAAGGCTTCCTTCCTGACTTGATGATGAAATGGGTAGCGGGCGTTTTCAAAAACAAACCAATATGAACATTTAAATTCATGGTATTCTTGGTCAAATGTATGGAAATGCTGTGGTTGTGGTTAAAGAGGAACTCATGTTGACTGGTGTTGGAGATGGGAAGTTGTAACTGGGCTTTGCTGTCACAGTCTGGCTTATTTTAAATAACTAGCATGGTCTTGTTCAAAGGAAACAACATTTACTGTTGATGCTGACCGCTCTCCGAGTTGTTTTTGTGGTGGTACCTCACATACTTGTCAGAAAAGCAAAGTAGTTTTTCCTGCAAGGTTATTCTCACAAAAAAAATGGACGAGGATAAGATTTTCAATAGTTTGTTGCGACTTGTTTATCATGAAGTTTGTTATTATTTTGCCGTGATATTTGTCTTGGCCAGGGGCGATGTGATTGGATAGCTCACAGGAGGGCTATTTCATTATTAAAAAACATGTATCTTACTGGATAGGCATCACTTTTGAGCTGTTGTTGGAGCTAGATGTGAGTCAGGGAATCACTTAAAGGTAGGGTAAGAAAGGAGAAACAAGCTCGAGTGCGCTAGAATTTGAAAGTACGCAGCCAAAAAAAATCTGCCCCTTCCTTCAGACTTCCTTACAGAGCCCCTCCTCCAACACACACGAACGCGCACATGACCAATGAGGGCACGAGATAAGTTTGTGCACGAGATGGAAGACTGACAGGCAGGTCGGCCGTCCAGTTATTTTAGCCGGCCCGGCTCAGATGATTGGTCATGCTTTTTACAGCACCACGGCTTCCACAGATGACATTTTTTTATGTATTTATTGTCAAAGCACTTCAGATATTCATTGCTATCGGGATGTTAAGAGCATTCCATGGAATATAACAAGTGTTTCTGAATACCCCACCTTCAAATTGGTAGGATTCATCGTCTGAATGCCATGAATGTCTGTATAAAATGGCATAGCAATAGTCTTTGAGATATTTGAAAGTGTTGGACTCCCTACCAAACAATGCCACCCTGTTAGCCAGCTTGTCGTAATATACTACAAATAATCCAGTATTGATTTGATCTAAAAAGCAGGTCTCCCAGTATTATTAGCTCCATCTCTGTCTGGCATCGATCCTCTCTCTCTCTCTCTCTCTCTCTCTCTTTCCCCCCTTTAAAAAGCAGCAACATTGCTTATCGTACGCCTTCAATGTTGCACATTGCTGGTTTCCTGGTAGCAGCAGATAAAGCAAATAGGATGCAGCAGCCATTAGGAGGGTTAGGAGAGGGTGGCCTGCTTTATTTCCAACACTAATTGCCATTCAGCAGGGGTGAGGAGCTGGAGATGTCAGCCATGTTCTGCTGTCAGGATGACCTGCTAATGTCAAGGCTGCACCGGTAGCTTTGCACACAATGTCTTCACTTTCACAGAATCACTATTAGAAACAGGTTTATTGGCCAGCACGTTCACACATAGGAGGAATGTCTCTTGGTGTATATGGTACATACATCAGAATTCCTTTATGTGTCCCACAAAGGGGAAATTGTAACAGCAAAGTATAGATAAAGGCGAATAAAAAGACTACTCTGGAAGAAATGCTGCTCCAAAAACAAGTTAAACAATAATGAAAACGAGCTGTTTTCACTTGAAATAAGTACAAAAATCTGCCAATAGAACAAGTGCAAATCAGCTTGGTAAGATGTCTTGAAATAAGACGGGATATTTAGATAAATCAGATCTTGTAATTAGCTGGAGAACTCATTTTGAACTATATTTCACCAGAATCAGGAAATGTTTTCTGATGTTAGTTAGTTGGTGATTTCCTAATAAATATGTATGTGTTTCATCTGAGATACGACTCAAAATAAGATGTTTTGACTTAACAAGATGATGCTTTGTCTAAAAACAAGACCCGATATCTCACTGCAGTGTTACTTCTGAAGTTATTGTGTCTTATATCAGATGTAGAGACATGTTCTGACTAGATATTAGACGAATATACTTGGCAAGAATTCAAGTTTTTGAGTGTATTATATTAAAAAAGTAATGCACGTACTGTAGGATTTAAAATAAAGAATATTACAATTGAACAGAAGTACACATTCAGGTAGATAAGTAAGTAGCAGCAGTATTTATACAATACAATAAGTGTAGCATTGTACAATGAACGTGCATAACAGTAGTACAATTATTAATTTTATTGCACATAGTTACGTAAAGATACTTGTTACAGTTAACCAAAGAATTAAAACTATTTAAAACAATTATTATAACATTAAAGTATAGAGGAAAAATAACATGAAATATGGATATACCAAAAAACTGCGTACAGTATAATATGACAAAACACATTCAAATATGTGCATGAAAAGTGGAAAGCTATTAAATAGGTAGCTTTACAAATGTGCAAAAATATTCGGAGGGTTGTGCAGGACTGACGATACTTAAATTAAATAAATAAATCATCTTCCAGCATCCCTCAGGTGCTTTTCTTCACACAGCAAGCCAGCTTTCATGTTGATGCTCACTACTTTTATTTCCCGAATAGTTTGGAAGCTTTTTCTCTGCCCTTTGTATCCTGCAGCTATTCCTTTTTATACGGGGTTGTTAAAATGAAATATTGCTACTACTTTACCGCTGCCATGGTGTCCCTCCATCAACAAAAAACTGCCTTTCTTTGTTTCCTGCTCAAAAAATATCAAGCACCTGCAGCTTCAGTGTTTCATCCTCCCAGTGTTCGCACTTGTTTGTGTCTGACTGATCCAGAGACTCTTTTGTTGTGGTGAGAAGCAGCAGATGAGACGGGGATAAAGGTTCGTCTCTCTCAGTGAGTATGAGCAGAGTGCCCTGATGTTTTCCTGTGTGTGTGACATACAGTATTTGCTGTGATCTCCCCCACCACTACTTGCTTTTGACTCTACAGGGAGCTGTCTCT